TTTGAGAAGTGTGTCACATTGCGGCTCAAGACGAAGAAAGTGAGCGTGACGGGTGACTCTCACAACTACGTATTCGATGGAAGGTGCCTGTCGAACGTGACTGAACAAAAAGATCTGGGTATCACTATTCTGCCATCCCTGAAGCCGTCTTTGCAGTGTATTAGGGCTGCCAAGAGGGCGAACAGTGTTCTGTTTGCCATTAAACGAACTTTTGTCGACATAGATAAAAAAAATATTCGGCAAAATATACGGAACATTTATTCGTTCAAATCTGGAGTATGGCGTTCAGGCCTGGCGACCATGGTTGCAAAAAGATTACCAGATGCTGGAAAAGGTTCAACGAAGGGCAACGAAAATTGTGATGGGCCTAAATTCTTCTCTTAAGAATGTAGACTAGAAGCACTTAACGTTTTTCCTCTTGAGTACAGGCAAATCCGAGTCGACCTCATACAGACTTACCGCCTCGTCAGGAATCGAGAGTGTGCCCTGAAGTTTGATGACTTCTTCGCATTCGCCACTTCAACCAACCTCCTTGGGAATTCCGTCAAACTGCTGGGAACCTTATCCCATCTAGATGTCCGCAAGCAGTCGTTCCCACAACGAGTCATCGGTGAATGGAACGGACTGCCCGAGGAGGTCGTAATGGAAAACTCCACAGATGCATTCAAACGAAAACTGGATGGACATTTACCTAACATTTACCGTTCATATGCACAAGGAAGCACTACTAATCTACGCATTGGCCAAACCTATAGATAAAACTTGTACATATTTATATGTTACTCACTATTTTATAGTTACATATCTTATGTTGGATATTTCATGCATACCATTTTGAATAGGGTCTTCGAGAGCATTGCCTACTACCCTAAATATACTGAACTACACTGAACTATGTCCGTTGATGCATGAGTTATCGGAGTGCCTGACCTCAAATAAATCTTGCCCCTTTTCTGGATTGGCAAACTCCAATGATGCGAGTTTTGTCCCGTACGAACACGTGCCTTATGTTAAGGATTGGTAGGGACACTTAGGACAGATGGTCCTGTCTCTTCATTGCAAGTTTGTGCGCGTGGATGCGTGTGAAGGCAAACATTCCTGCTTAACCGTAATACACAGTGCCACAAGCTTCGAATAGGATCTTGTATACGACTTCATTCTTGTCGATATAGCCAATGGTGTACAAGTTGTGCGCACAAGATAGCCGGCAGTTTGGGTGAAATTTCAATTTTTTTCCACGAGTGCCTTTCAACGACATCAGATACATCCCTTTTATAAGGAAGGATTCGCCATATTTTTATTTTGGGTACCTGAGTGGAACAATACAATTACTTCTCACTGGATTCGTATTTTTTAACGCATCGACGTACAAAGTTTCTGGGATAACCATGCTGGAAGAAGGTCAGGACAGTTCAGAAAACTTAGCTCGACTCGGTAGGTTCCTTCGTCAGAACAGTGTGTTTTTGTTCGATGTGCATACTGTTGATGGCACTCCTTTTGTGAGAGATTGGATTGCTGCTGTTACGTTTCTGTGTGATAAACGGGCGTGTGTAGTGTTTCGCCAGCTTTTTACCGTACGGAGCATCCAGAAATGGAAGTTTAATGTCAACTTCTTTCTCGAGCGTGAATTTAGATCTCAGAATGACGAACTTGGTCTTGTGGAGCGTTTATAATTGTTCCTATTTAACGGCAACAAGTGTGTCGTGTACGCATCCTAACCCAAACTAGGAGTTAGTAATGAATGAGACGTAGATTCCAGCTTCTGCATTGCTACTTCTGCAAGACATCTGGAAATGCATGATCCCATCGAAAACAAAGAGTTGTGTCCTTCAAGGTACCGTGCTAGGTCCTCTGTTGTCATTGCTTTACATAAATAATATTTGATCGACCGGTAAACACCCCCAATCTTATATTTATGCGGACTATCTCAAGTTTGTTTAATCCCTCTCTAAATCTACGGCCGAGGGATGCTTAGAACAAATTCATTCGGAGTTTGACGCTCTTGCTTCGTGGTGCTCCACGTGGCAGATGTAGTGCTCACCTTCTAATTGCCAAAACATGTGTTTTGGGCCTGAAAGGCTGCCAGAGCCTGTTATTTTCCAAGGTTACTCAATGATTGAATGTTCCAACTTCAAGGACTTAAGTTTAAGCAAAACTAATAAATTTGCACTTTCACCTCATGCCGATAGAATTACGGTCAAAGCTACTCGGATTTTTGGCCTTATTTCTTATAGTTTCTACCTTCCTTCCATTTTTCGGTCTAATGAACAATTCTAGTTGTTAAAAAACTGAAAATGCCCAAGGACATTTCACAAGAAAACTCCTTCATCCGACATGTTCAAAAACTTGTTACTCAAATAGATGCCAATTAACAAAACTGATATTTTTTTGGATCAGGAGATCGGAAGCAGGCTTTTACCTTTTTTCGTCTTAATAATAGTTCAAGTCTCCTCAAGATTTCTGTTATTACGTCCGTTAGTGGTTCTTACAACTTAAGAAATTCTGCATTGATTATCCCTCCTCTTGCATCCTACACATGTAAACGTTCTCTGTTTTTGCTTCTTTGGAATAATTTGCCAATTGAAATTAGGTCGTTAACTATTCTATCCGCTTTCAAGCGAAGACTGCACATTTATCTTATTGCCGATTTTAACAACCTTTAATTCTCCTCATCTTTTCAGAGCGGCTTTCTCCATCACTCCGAAAAAGGACCATCGGAAATTTAGGAGGTCCTCTTGAACTTATTTTTCGCTGCCTCTTGTCCTCGGGAACCTAGATGTCTCCATAAACCACCAGTCATTCAAACGGTGGAAGTCATAGTGACGTACTCAGTCTAAATTGCTCCCGTTTCAGTGGCTCCTAACCATCACCAAAATTTCATTCTGGCTCCTGAAAGATCCCTTGGGCCTTAAATATACTATTTATTTAAGACCACAAAACCCTTAAAAGGGTTCAGTGATGGGCAAGCAAGCTGATACGAGGTCAAAGGTACCTGCATTACGAGATACTTTTGTCCAAATTTCAACTTGTTTCCCCTGAATTACAGGCAGTAAACACCTTGGTCTAAAGACTGGCTTTTGCCGTTTTATGAGAACAAGTGCAGTGTCCTACGAGTTGGCCCACCCAGCTCTCAGAATCCCATGGATTACAGCCTGCATCGCATCCAACTGCAAGAAGCGGACGCGCAAAAAGATTTGAGATTGTGGATCACGACTTTGCGTAAGTCTTAGCTGCATTATGTAAAAGTAACCAAGTCTGCGATGTCTGTCCTGTATCTTGTCAAACGGGCCATATGTGCCCATGATAAAGACCACTTCGCTAAGGTCTTTGGAACATTTGTGCGGCGAGAATTGGAGTTCGCTATTCAAACATGAAAACCTTGGACCACGAAAGATCCCGATTCCCTCGAGAAGGTTCAAAGGCATGCAATAAAACCTGTGACCGGACAGGGCTCATCCACGTATGAAACACGTTATACTAATCTCGATCGATTGTCTTTAATTTACAGGCAGATACGTGGTGATCTGATGCAAACATTTCGTAAAATGTGCGGTCAGGACTGTCTTCTACTTGCGACTTCCTGAAGTTGGCAATAAGTACAAACTGAAGAAGTCAGCCACTCAAAGTACGTGTAACAGAGGCCAGAGTAGACACACGAAAGTTCTTCTTTTGTAATAGAATGATTGAAGCTCAGAATGCTCTGCTCCTGGATGTTGTTATGTCCGCTTCCGTTGAAGTCTTTAATTAGAACCTAGATTGCTCTAGTAATTTGCACTCTAACACCAGCTGACCACTTTAGTCTTACCACAGGCGAAGGAAATATTGCATTATTATAGTATTACTGGCTTAGTTTGAGTAACATTTAATTTTGAAATTATTATCTGCACAAAATTCCTCCATATGCATGCAGCATTTCTTATGTCAACCAATAACGGATAGTTGCGATCGTGGCGGCTTCTCCTGTATTCGTCGCGTTGATGACAGCCTCGGAAATGGGGAAGGGCCTACCGTGGTCGCAATTCCGGTACCTTGAGGATCTCGGAACATCTATAACACCTTCCTCCGTGTTCCCTTTGTTAGGATGGCCAAACAACAGCCTTAGCAAGCAGTAGCTTGCGGGCCATAGCCGCGTCCACAATAGACTATCGATCAGACTACGCGTGAGCTAACGCATCGTTCTAGACAGTCAATCAATAGTTCGAATTTCTAGCTACACTCACTCACTGAGCCAACAGCCAATAATACTGGCGACTATTTCAGGAGAGAATCTGATTGACCGAAAGGATATCGTTTACACGCGTTTGTTTCCTAAACACGTTGTACCTCATACACTAAAAGACTTCTGCCTTTGCACATTTCTTGTCGTGTTCGTCCTTAAAGGACTCACATGAGGCGTTATTGGGCGGCGATATCTCGGCCTGGGCTTCTGTTACAACATTTGGCGACGCAGATCTCAGGACTCACCATGTCTATTTGAACAGAACGATTGCTCGCTATCCTGCAGCAACAGCAAAAGCAAGTCGAAACTGCACACATGAAGTTGATGGAGCCTATGATGCAAAAATTCAGTTTGCATTTGTCCGACCCAGATTCTTCTGCTAAATTGTCCACATCAGCGGACGCCACTGCGGCTTCTATCACTGAGTTCATTTATGACACCGACTCCAGCGGTACCTTTTATGCTTGGTTCAAACGTTGGGAAGACATATTCTACGTGGAAATTACCAAGGCCGATGATGCATGGAAGGTGCGCCTGCTTTTACGCAAACTGGGAACCAGAGTGTTGTAACGGAGGCCCAGGCCGAGATATCACCCCGCCAAATTGTTGTAACT